TCGTGAAGCAACATCGCACTGAAAGAAGCCGTGACTGGCCATCGATGGTGGACTCTAGTGCTTGGGGATAGGTATATCTTGACACCGGTGCTTAGTGTTCATAGCTAGCTACTGTGTGTGTGTGTGTGTGTGTGTGTATTTGAGGGGATCAGAACCAAGGTTTATGGTCTGACTTTTGCATCTGTCCAATAAACTATAATTTTATGATGATCCTGTGAGTTGGTCCTTTGTAGCCAACATACTGTACTGGTAACTTGCAGTGCTGGGGCAAAATTTGCTACCAGAATTTCCCAGTAGCAAAAAAACAAACAAACAAAAAACCCTGGAAAAAAGCAGCACAAGCCACATGTTGTGGAGCCCCTGTGCTGAAGCACACTGCGTCCCAGCCAGCCACGGAGCATGACTGCACACAGGTGCATGTGCACCCTCTTAAGCTGGCGGTGCACCCCCTGCAAAAAGGTGCCGCTGACACTGCTGGTGGTGCCTACAGGCAGTCACTGGTCACCACCCCCCCACTCTCCCTCTGCTGTGGACACTACCGGCAGTGCCTGTGGGTGATTCCCAATCACCGCTAACACCCTTAGCAAACTATATTTAGCTGGAGTAACAGCTGCAGCGGATCTGCTGAGATAGAAAACCACTGTTTTTTCTCCCATTTTGCCACTGGATCCTCAAAAATGTGGATCCACCTGTGCTTCCTCCTTCCACAGAAAATGGTTCCCTTCCACCTCTTTGGGGTAATTGGCAGCACTACTTCACATCAGGATATGCTGTTTTAACTGAAGTATCTGATTGTGTTCAGCTGAAATCTATGGGTACTTGTGGCAATTTGGCCTTCTGAAATAAGAAATTCTTATGTCAGTGTAACCTATTCAGATTCAGATGTACATCTGAAGTATTGTATTTTGGTGAATTATAGAGAATGTGGTATTGTAATATTGTAAGTGCTGTGTTTACAGACTTAATTGCAGTATGTACCAAGTATGAGTTCTCAAATATATTTCAGGCAGCTGCAGTAAGGACTGTCAGTACTAGATATGAAGTTTAATTGAATAAAGAACTTGATTTATCCAAATGTGGAAAAAGTAGCTGAAATTCAAAGCTGGGGAAAACCTCTTCTTTTTCATTCTTGGATAACTAAACAGCAATGAACCAGAATTGTATCAAACTTAAAAAAAATATATCTCTGAGGTGAAAATGTGTTGGAGGGGACAAGTTAGTGCCTAGGTGTTTTTGCAAATGCAGCAAAGCACCTATTTATATTTTTGGTTACAATAAACACGTGTAAAATTATGGCCCCTTAGTCATTGTGTGCCTGACACAAATCCACTTGAGTAGAATCTAGGAAGACCTTTTGAAGTACAGTATATGAAAAGACCTCCACTAACTCCTATGGGATTTGGATCAGACCTTCTCTACTTTAGTCCCCTGTCTGTAAAATGGAGCTAGCAGTATTCCTGCCTTACAAGAGTGTTAAGGATAAGTAAGTTCATGCATACATTAATGATGAAGTGATTTAGATATTAATTAAACAATGGGGACCATATAAGTACCTAAGAAAGAATTTCTAACTTCAGAAATAATTTTAAGAGTGATAAAATTTGCAACTGTACTGGATGAGATTGTAACACTTGGCAGACTGGGTTAGGTTTAATAATAGGGAGGAAATTCCCCAGCTACCTCTTCGTGAGCCACTGCATTGCTAGTACTATGGATCTATCCTGAATAGCTGAGCAAAGATAGAAGGCTTTGTTCTATGGGAAATTCTGACAGTTCAACATTGTTATTTTGTTCTAAATTAGAAAAGAAAGCTGTAATAATGATTATTTTCACAAACAAAGTTCTAAAAACCTGCTTCAGAATTGATAAAAATTCTTTGTTGGGATTTGCCATATAAATAAAGCAAATGTGATGTTCAGCCAGTCAGTCAGACAGGCCCGATGGTGGCTGCACCAACCATTGGGGCATCTTTGATATAGCATAACTTCCCTCCATTCTTCCTGGTCTTTTTCAATTCTTGTACAATCAGTCAGTTTTACTCCCATCCAGTCTTTGATGTTGGTGGTCCATCTTGTCCTAGGTCTTCCTCTTCTTCATCTGTGCCACTGGCCCGGACACGGAGTTTCCTGCTGCCCTCAGGGGAGTCATCTGCTCCACTGGAGCGGCAGATGCCCTCCCTCACTCCTGTGCTGCTACAGCCCTGGCATCTGGACAGCTTCTCCCAGCACAGGCAGGCACCCACCACTGCTCACATATCCATCCCCTCCACATACCCACACACACACATGCAGAGTCCCCCTGGACAGTCCCCAATCCCTGGCCCTCCAACCCCTGCTCCCCATAGATTTACCTGCATCCAGCTGCTGGGGCTGCTCCTACTGTTAAGTCGTGACACCATTAATTGAGTCCAACTAAGTATTTAAATGAATCTGCCCACCCAGGGGCTGGGAACTATCTGTTGGACCAAAACCTTTACCCTAACTAACTGATGGAACTGAGCAGTGCTTGGAGTCTTCCTGTTGCAGAACAGCCCTTTCCTAGGCTGTCCCAGATGCATCACATCCTGGGGCAGCTGCTGTTCATGGGTCAGAGCAGTGTTACCAAATTTGCCCATTACTTTGGGGTGTGCTTATTTATTAGGGATAGTTTCTAGGGTCTTGGTGATTCTGTCAACGTGCTGCTTGTGTTACTATACGGAGCTGTATTTCTCCCTTCTGCAAGCCCTCACCCCCAGTGGAGCTATCTTGCAGGACTCAATCTCAATGGGACTGGGTTCCTCCAGTCACCAAATCAGTCATACACACAAACACACACAAATTAACATGACACGCCTGACCTGGCCGGGCTGATCAGCATGGACAGGCTGACACCCTCATATGCCAAGAATCAGTTCATAAGAGCAACAATAAAATGCAGTCAGACACAAGCACACAGGTGAACAGAATCCCTCTGAATCCGGCTGGGTGTCCAGCTGACACCCTCATGGGCCAGCATTCAGTTCCTAAGGGCACGTCTGAGTCAAACTGCGTCAATCAGCCTGTACAAGCTGATCCCCTTATGTGTTTCAAACTCAGCACGTCCCAATCTTTGGCCTCTTGATGAGCAGACCCCACAATATTTTTGGGTGGCCTCTGGATTAGCAGACCCCACAATATTTTTGGGCTTCACAGGGATCTTTAGCATAGGTAAAAGAAGCATTGCTGCAGAGCATGGCAGGAAAGAGAAGCAGAGAAGGAAAAAATATACCCAATTACTACCAGTTTGACTATAAAAGTTATTTATTGCTAAGCATATGAAATATATAATAGTACTAGTAGTAATAAACATACAGAAGAAAAACAAACACCAACAATGACAGTACTACCCTGGTTTCACTAAGTATTTGGGGAAACTTAGCTCAAGCTTAACTGATACAGTTCAGGTTCAGAAGTTTATGCCTAGAAAGAAGACAGAGAACGCTGGGATCTCACCTAGTCCACGGTACTCAGGCTGCAAAGCTGACAGGCACAGTCTGTAGCACAATCCTTGAAGAGAGAGATGATCTGTTCTTCCAGCATCCCAAGAACGACAGGGGATGGTGTCAGCACAGGGGTTTTCTTCTTCTCCTTCTTTCCTCCTGCTTCTACTTCTTTTCCTTCCTCTTCCTTTTCTAGCAGCACACACACTTACAGATTTTTATACCCTCAGTTCAGCTGCTTCGAAGCACCCTCAGTAGTGTAAATCATTGTCTTTTCTATTGACAAGGGGTTATCTGGTTTGGACCATCTCAGGAAACTGATTGATAATCAGGAAACACTTAAGATTAGGGAGTAACCCAAATACTTGGGAGCCAGCTTGAAATTCCTATGGGTGGCAGATATACTGATGGGATATCTCATGGTTTCTTCAGGAACAATAGATAGCTTGCAGCATCAGGATTTTGGATTTTTACTTGTTGTGCACAAGCCTCAGCTTAGCATGACTTTTCCAGATCTTACTATAGTCTTTTAACAGACTTAAAACAATTATTGGGGTGCTCATAACCTTTTGTGGAGAGGACTCCCACCAGTCGTCTCGGGAAAGATATGACAACACCTGGGATTAGGGCTCCAGCAGGCTGGATGCTGTGATGAACCCTTAACCATTGTTCAAATGTTGCCCATACCCCCTCTGACTCGGTCTCTTGCCTCAGCATTCCCTAACCCGGCAACCGAGTTTTAGTCAATCAAGTTTAAATAGGCCTCCCATAGTGGGACCGGGGAATGTACGGCCCGAGATGCCTATTAAACTTAGAGCTGTGTGTGTGTGTCTGGGGGGGAAAAGTCCTTAGTAAATCCAGATTAGAACTGGTCTGATAAATGCTGAGCTGGGTGTGTGTGAACATGGGTTGATTAACATTTGAAGCACAGATTCCCCATCATGCAGTGCTCCCCTGCTTCTCTGGTCCCAGAATTCACTGCAGTCTCTGCTTCAGGCTTTCTGTTCTCCATCTCTCATGTAAATGAATGGTCATCTGGTTCCGTCTCGGATGAAAATGAGACCTAGGGCAGTTGTTTCACTCTTGTCACCCTTATCTGGAGGGTCTTAGGTGCGTCTCTCACTGCATCTTAATCAGTTTCGTTTAGGTAGAGGGAGGGAGGGAGGGGCGGGGGTGAGTCCTTTGTGAGTCTGACAGACTGCATCCTGTGCCAGGGTTGCCCAAGAATACAGAGCTGAGGCGTAACAGCAGTGGTCTCCAACTTTTGTAAGTAGATAACCTTTGGCATTTAAAAGTGTTGGTGGCCAAGATCTATCATATATTACCACCAACCCCTCCCTCCCCACAAGCAGGTAAGTCTGTGGCGAGGGAAGTGGGGGGCAGATTGAGGCAGAGGGAGAAAAAATTATTTGGGGGTGCACCTCCTCAGCAGGTAAGTCCCACCCAGCTGAGGCCCCATTCAACTTACCCCTGCTCCTGCCTCTGCTGCACTGTCCCTCACCGTGGGGTTCTCCATCTAGCCCCTGCCCCTTCTCTCGTCCATGGACTGACCTGCTGGGCTGGGGCACGCACATGAACACTCTACTCATGTTCATACCCAGCCTCGGATCAACTCCAAGAGGCTCCGAGATGGACTGAGATCCACTGGTTGTGACCACTGGACTAGAGGCAGACATGGAGTTATCCTGGGCCTGAGGCTCAAAAACAGACAACGGGGTTGATGAGGCCCTGTATCAGGACAGGCCCAGCACAGCCGCTTGCATATCAGGCTTAAATGGCAACTCAGTGGTATTAGCTGCGGTTGGTGTGAGGCAAGGTTCCAGCACTTCCACACCCCTCCCCTCAGGGGCTCGAGCTCTAGCAGCTTACGGGGGGGAGCGGCGCAAAGGAGAGCGGCCGCCTTCCCAGCGCACGCGTGGAGGCTGTTCCATAGCTCTTCCCCGAGCCGCTCGTCAAGGGCAGCATTGCGCATGCGCACAGGGTGTCAACAGTGACGTATATCCCGAGTGCCGGGTGATGCAAGAAACTCTCCATCGCCAAGGAAACGGGACTGGACTGGAGAGGGAAGCGGCGGCCACTGTCCCGCGCCTCCTCTCTCTCCGCCGCCGCTGCTATCGCTATTGCTATCGCCATCATGTGCGAGCCCAGCAAGCAGGACATCGCCGCCATCTTCAAGCGGCTCCGCTCAGTTCCCACCAACAAGGTAGTGGCGGGGGGCAGGGCGCTATGACACGTCGCACTGCCTGGCGAGCGGGGGGCGGGGCTACCCTCTTCTCGGGGCCTGGCTGCTGTGGGCCGATCCCCGCAGAGT